CCGTCTCTGCCGCCAACTGCCGTCGGGAGTCGCCTCACGGCGGCGGGCCACCTCCAAACCTCCCCAAATCAACACCCCAGAACCCCCGTCGTCTCCTCTTTACAAATCTCCAAACCAATTCCCTCGAATCATCACCAAATGGCTCGAATCTTAAATATAAGATCGATACCTCAAAACCCTAAGTCACCCAAATGCCACCAAATTCACACCCTATAATCCTGGCACCCCTCTGAACCCTAAACCACCATTAACCCCCTGCGAATCGGCCTCAATTTCCTCGAATTTTAAATATGAATTCTCAGGAACCCTAATTTTCTTTCACTTCCAAATTTCCGGCAGTTTTTGGGGTTTCTGAACCCAAGACTTCCATGAGTCCATTGCTCTTGATAAGAGCAGTGGATTGATGGTTGTCTAAAGTTCATTTGTACCCCGTTTGGGGTCAAAATTCGAAGTTGGTTCAGTTTTCATTATTGGAAGAATTAAGCATTAGGTTACTTCTTTAATTTCCTTTTGGTTTTGGTCATTTCCCCCATTTTCTGTTAATTAGGTCTTCTTTTCTGTCTATTAGCTTCATTAATTGCATGTTCTAAGATTTCGTCAATTAGAAATTCAATGTTGCCTAGGTTCAGATTGTTGAGATTGGAATGATTAGGTTTAGTCTTCTTATAATTCGCCTATTCTGTTTCTCCTTTTATTTTATTTCTTGCTGTTTGTTTTGTTTATCTTTGTTGTTCTTGCAAGTTTTGTTAAGAATGGTATTAAAAGGTTAATCAATAGCCTGTTTAGCCAATTCCTGCTTACTTTAGCTCTAGCCGGATTCAATTTCATTTCATTGTTTTGAATTTAGCTAGTTTTGGTTCTTGGTTTCCTTGGCCTAAGCATGCTGAATTTCAGTAGTGCTTTGAATCTGAGTTCACATGTAGTGATTGCCTACATGTTTTGATTAATTAGGATTAACTAATTTTAACTTTAGGTTTGAACCTCTGAGTAGTAGTTAAACCTTAGTTTAATTTCAGAAAATGAAATGCAATACAACTAGGCAACTTAATCACTTAGTTAAAGGTCCTGAAATGGTTGTAATTAATTTGAAATCAGAACATATGGCAAAGCTGAAATAGTTAGTAATCAAAAGGGTAAAAATGAACTTTTACAAAGGCTAAAAATTAGAAGTTTCTAGAACCTGGGGCAGCTGTCCCTATTTGGTTAGCACAAAAATGCTGAGCCAATAAGGAACAGCCAGCTGTCCCAGGTGGTTAAAAGATGCCTTTTCAGGCTGAAGAGAATATTTTCCTTGGTTTGTTTTTCAGCACATGGCCTTTTAGGCCTATAAGTAGTGCCTTTTCTTTCACTCACACACAGATTCAGCATCATTTTACTGCACAAAAAGCTCTCTCTTCTTCTCTGTAAAGATCAGATTTCAGAAACTCTTGAAAACATTCAAAATTTCTTATTTCTTATTTTTACAAGCTGAAAAACATGGTTTTGAAGTAGATGATCTTTTTTTGGGTTTGTTAGCTGGAATTCCTGGTTTCAAAGTTGTTTTAAATTTGTGGTCTATTTGATTTGCTATTGCTGTGTCGGTTTATTGCTGCTGTTCCTTTCTTCTGAAGTTCAGCCAGTTCCCTTTCATCTCATATTTGGTAGTCTTGGTTGCTGTTGTTCAAGGTACTAAGTTTAACCATTCTGCCTGTATGTTTCAGTTACAAGGCTAATATAAATTAAGTTTGCAAAATTGTATGTTAATTGTTTGATTGTGTTGAGATGAAGTTTGTTGGTTTCTTCTTTTACTGCTTTGAATGTTAAGCATGAAATAATCTGGTTTGGTTAGTTTTGGTATACACATTGATGCTTGGTTTCTCTCGTGAAGGTATTTTGGTTTTAAAAGATAATTCTTCAGTATTTTTTTCTGCTTTTTCTGAGTAACAACTGTGCTTTAAGTCATTTCTGCCCCTTTTTCTTCTGTTAATAAGTGGACTGATGGTTAGTTTGAGGTCATTTGGGGTTTTTATTTGCAAACCATGAGCCAATACCTACAGATTTGGTCACTAGTTGGCCAAATCAGTAGGTCCAAAGGCTAAGAATCTAAAACTTTTACTGCTCAAACCTGCTGAAATCTAGTGTTGTTCATGTGAGAGGCCCAACTTTGATGGATAAACAATGTCCAAAAGAGGCAGGTGTTCACTGGTTCATCAATTATATAGGGATTGTAATAGATTAGTGGTTAGAGTAATATTTTATGTACTTAATAGGATATCATGTAGTATTTCTGGATTTTTCAGAAAGCTGTATTCCGTATGAAATGCTGTAATGAGTAAGATTCCCATTTTGTATAAATTATTGATAAGAGTGTTCATAAGTATAGTGGTACAAGGGTCTAGGTTGAGAGCCCCAATCCGTAAGGGTAGAAGGGGCTATCTTTTGATCAAAGTAGGGCTGAACTTGAGGCCCAATTGAAAACTAACCACATAATGAATCTGGACCTAGGCCGTTGGGCTTGGGTCCTAAGCCCAAAATCCGGTTTTTAAAAAATCTTTTCTTTCCTTTTCTTATAAACCATGGTGTAAATTTATGCTTCTTTTATCTTGCAAGTCATGTGATTAATTTTCAAAGTAGAATTGCGCTTGGATCTTTAAAATTCTGATTTTTATTTAAGCAGCGAATTGAAATGCATTGGTTATGAATGGGCAGATTTGGTTAATTGTAGAGGTGGATAGGCCCAGCTAGAAAATGTGTAGCAACTGGGCCCGCCTACATACAAGCCCAATATGGGCTGTTCCATTTGGATTCAGCAAAAAAAATGCCTTTGAGTCTTTTCTTTCCGGGACAAATTCAAGCCCAAATATGACTTTAAGGTTGCTGATTTCCCTTAGGTAAATAATCAATGGGCCATCGCTGGCCCAAATTCCTTCTCAAAAGGAATTTAAAAGCTTAACCTCCCACACGATAATTTCTTAATTAAAAAGGCAAATGCACATAGGTTTTTAAAAAAAAAAAAGTAATTAAGCAATTTGATTAAGCCAAGTATGATCAAAGCGACCATGCTAGAACCACGGAACTCGGGAGTGCCTAACACCTTCTCCCGGGTTAACAGAATTCCTTACCCCGATTTTTGTGTTTCGCAGACAATAAAACAGAGTCAAATCTCCTCGATTCGGGATTCTAAACCGGTGACTTGGGACACCATAAACTATCCCAAGTGGCGACTCTGATCTTAAATAATAATCCCGTTTCGATTGTCACTTTAATTGGAAAAACTCCCTTAATACCCTCTCTCGGATGGTAAAAAAGGAGGTGTGACATCCGTAAATTGTGATAAAGTATTATCACTATCAAGAATAGGAGCAGGTGGAGGACGGGTATGGGGTTTGCGCAGGGGAGGCCGGGGAATTAGAGGAGGAATAGATTGGCCACTAGATTCACCACTCTTGGATTTTCCTTTATTTTTACTAAATATTTTTTTAAGGAATAGGCCATCTTAATTATAATTATACAAAATAATTAAATAAAACAAACAAACTATAATATTAAAACTAAAGAGTTGGAACGAGTTTACCGAATTGACGAACAACTTGTTGAAAATTAATTATCGTTGAAGACTTGAACACTTGAATACTTCAATTCACCAACTTCACAATTTTTCACACAAGTTGCAACAAAAAAGTAACTAATTTTAAGAAGAAAATTAGAGTAAGATTGAGAGAGATTGATGATTTGGTGAAGAAAAATGAAAGAATGAGGCGGTATTTATAGTTGAAAATAGGCAAAAAGTGTAATTATAAAAAGTTTGGGGTTAAAACAAAGTTGGGGGGTTAAATGACTATTTTATAAATAGCCAACGGCTATTTTGGTAGCAATAACGGCTACATTTTAAATGGGTAATGGTCAGAAATTTAATTGAGATTTTTTTTTAAAATTAGCCGTTGGGGACCGTTTAAGACCGTTTGGGACCGGTTAGGACCGGTTGAACCGGCCCACTTAGGAGCCGGTCCCGGGCCTAAACGGTCCCGGTCCTAACGGGCCCCTACTGTGAACCGGCCCACATGATCCTGCATATCTCCTTTGTGTCGGGCTTAAACGGGTAGGACTGTTTAGGCCCACTACCCATATGGGCTCGCGGGCCTGGGCCGGTCCCGGGCCTAACCGGCCCACTTGCCACCCTTAGACTAGAGTCGGCACATCTATATCTGGGTAGAAATCGGAGTCACAGTTGACGGCCTCGATATCGAAGCTCAGGTTTCGAGCTAATGTCCGGCATAGTTAGCCGAATCGGAATATGATAATATCGAACTCAAAAGCACCATCGAAGCCGGCCATCGAGATCATCAGACTTGCCCTCGAGTTAGCCGAAGACGTAACTGGTCCTGTTCTTAACGACCTCGAATAAAAGACCTGCCAACTCAGCCGACAGAGATCCTCAATTCTCGCCTTTAACTAATCATTATGGCATAAATTACGGGATTGGCCAAAAAGGGAGCCAACGGTCCACTAAATCAATATTATTGTTTCTTATAATATACTACCTAAAAATTTCCCAATAAATAGAGGGGACTGAGTTATTCATAGACACATTGTAATAGATATCAAAAGCAATATACTGTTATTTCTAGCTTCAACTCTTTTTTGCTGTGTCTTTTCATAATACCATTCCTAGCTAAAGGAAGATCAAACTTAGAAGGCAAAAGTTTGCTCAATTTGTAAAGATCGTATCTATTTTTCGATTATTCATTTTATACGTTAATCTAATTTTTCCCTCTCGTATCAATTCATATCACGTATCCTTAGAACCGCGTATAAATTCAATTGTTATCCCATTTCAAGGGTAAACAATATAATCTTTAAATGTAAACCAGATTCATAGAAATTCTTTTCCGACCAGATTCATAGAATTCATTTTAAGGCTATGCGCATCTTTTTGTTTTTCTCCTTTTTAACCTGCCATTTCTTTACCTTATAGGTATGAGAAACTTAACATTTTTCTGCTTCTCTTCTCAAAATATACTGTAATTTGGTTTTGTTTCATTCTCTCATTTTCGTTTTAACTATAACTATGTTTTGATTTGATTCTTTTTAGTACACTAGTTCTTCAAAGAAGCACGTCATCATATTATATTGTGGGTCCCTTCTTTTCAAAGGAAAACACATGTTAGTAGTTTTGGAAGCCCATAGCCTCACAAGTAAAATCTCGTTCTATTTGAGAAGACATCAATTTCCCACACAAACTAAAAGTTCAATTCCTCTGCTCTGTTAATTCATTATTGCTATATGGCGTTGCTTGTGTCAAGTGTGCAATTTCAACCTGGAGTAAGAATTGTATATTCTGTACAGAAAAGGCAAAATTCAAACAACATTCTTCACAAAAGGTCTCTATCCAAAACCCGATTCTCTTTCTCTACCAATTCGATAAATCGGCGATATCGGTACATATCTCCCCTAAATTCGGCTTCAATTAATGGATACTCCATACAAGAAGCTGATTCTAGTGAGAAGCTGGGGGTGAAATGGATGGAATTTGTTCGGAATGTATTTCCGGGTGGAAATTGGTGGAGGCTTGATGTGGATGATGTTGGAGTAACGGCAAAGCCTGTGACTGTTGTGCGTGCTCTTCACAGAATGTGGGAATTGATAGCTCAAGATGGTTTGCTTATTTTTGCTGCTTTTACTGCACTCATTATTACTGCTGTACGTCAACCAACAGTTTTTTTGTTCTTTCTTTTCTTTCTAAATTGGACAAAAGAAAATAGTAGGAGTAAATAATTACTAACTGGAAGTTACTTCGCATCAGTTATCAGAAATTAGTATCCCGCATTTTCTGACAGCATCCATCTTTTCGGCGCAAAGTAGCAGTATCGCAGTGTTCCACCGGAATGTGCGCATCTTGGTAGTGCTCTGCATCATTTCCGGAATATGCAGGTTTTTGTATCATTTCAAACGGACATAATGCACATTAGTATTATTTTGCATTGTCACCCTACTTACCTGCATTTTTTGCGAGTATCCTAACATACATACTTGTTCATCTGCTTCTCCAATAGTGGTGTGCGAGGTTGCTTTTTTGGGCTCGCAAATATGATCCTGGTGAGTCTTACATCACATTTTAGAAGAATAGAACAATGCAGTTATCATATACATATACTCGTATTTTTTTATATTGGGGTTATACTGGTGTCTGTCATGAACTGGCCTAAACATCTAGTATTGTATCTTTACTTCTATCAGACACTATAAAATCAGTACCATTTAAACAATCTGTTAAAGGTTAAAGTCGTCAAGAAACAAAGCTGGTTTAATCGCCTTGCACTTCATCTTCGATTGCAGGTCCAGCGAATGAGGGAAAAATTGTATTCCACTCTTCTTCTTCAGGTTTCAGGAATTCCTATTTGCTTAAACACAACTAAAGCATCATCAAAATTGCTTCTATATGAAGCGCAGATCCTTATATATTTCTGCTTACCCTCTTTGTAGGATATATCCTTTTTTGATTCTGAAACAGTTGGTGATTTGACAAGTAGGCTAGGGGCAGATTGTCAACAAGTCTCTCGCGTAATTGGGAATGACCTAAATCTAATTTTACGTAATGTTCTCCAGGTAAGATTTCCTAAGATGTCTAATGTGTTCCGATATTCATTTTTGAGTTGGTAATTTACTTTTGTCCTTTCCAGGGAACAGGTGCTTTAGCTTATTTATTGATTTTGTCCCCTCCACTGGGATTGTGCACAATGGCTATCTGCTGTGCACTTCTCACGATAATGCTGTTGTATGGCCAGTAAGTTTTTGCTCATTGTTTTACTTGTATGAATCAGATGTATATTAACTTAGAATCTTATTTACCAGATAGACGTAGGTGACAGTATGCATGGTTTTACATCTATTAAAAATGAGAAGTTCCAAGGATAACTGTTTTACTGAAACTTTTGGTCACATACTTTTTTGAGTTGATAATGTAAGGACTGACTTATTTATAGTAAGAGATGAACTTAACTCTTACTTTAGGAAATTAAACAAATAGTGACAAGGGCCAAGCTAGCCTTTGTTGCCGCAGGGTTTTGGTCCAATAGCAAGGGTACTACAACATAAGGTGTGTGGTAGGTGCAGAACTCTAGATTGTGAACCAAGTCTGGTATTTAAGGGTTTGGGGGGGGGGGGGGGGCGTTATTCATCAGGCTTTGAAGCCAGAATAAGGATACTCTTGGTTATCTTTAAAAAAGGGGCCAAGTTGGTCTTTGAACCAATCTCCCATCCACAGTCATGTGAACTCTAGTCATAGAATTGGTCTCTCTTCATTTAAATCGCATTTTCATTAGTTGCTATATTATGCTACATTCTCTTAGTAGCAAATGAGTACCATAATACTTTGTTCAAGTAGGTGAAAAAAACTTATACTTGAGAATTATTGCAATTTATGATTTCCTGAACTTCTTCTAACTCTCTCTCTCTCTCTCTCTCTCTCTCTCTCTCTCTCTCTCTCTCTCTCTCTCTCTCTGTGCCTGCTTCTTTTCATAGATACCAGAAGAAAGCAGCTAAACTAATTCAGGAGTACACTGCTTCTGCAAATGAAGTAATCTCAAGAAGTTAATTGGTCCATTTTTTCCAAAGATGTTATAAGTTATTTTTTTAATGATTTCATATCCTTTGATGTGATGTAGGTTGCCCAAGAGACATTCTCCCTCATGAGGACTGTACGAGTGTATGGAACTGAGGAACAAGAACTGGGAAGGTACTACTTAACAGAAGGGATTTTATTCCCTTTGTGTTTTATTTAACACTGCCAGGAGTAAGCATAGAACATATGCAAAATATAATTATATCAAGCTGCTCAGTATTAACAAGAGCTCGAAAATGACCATCTTCTAGAACAGGTATGCACGGTGGCTAGGGAAGTTAGCTGATATAAGCTTGCGTCAAAGTGCTGCTTATGGATATTGGAACTTTAGCTTCAACACACTCTATCACTCAACACAGGTCAAACTCTTTCCACCATTGAACACTGGAGTATCTTTCTTTTCCTTTGTACCTTCCATCTTTTTTCCTTGGTTGATAAATGAGGAACTCTCTTTGAAAGAAAGACATTTCGAAAATCGGGAGCTCTATGTTCTGGAAACAAATGTCACGCAGAAGCTAAACATAACAGGAAATGCTTTTTCCAAGATCAATTTAAATTTACTTAGAAGGAAAATGATTGATGGATTTTCAGAAAGATCTTTCACATGGAAAACACACTCTTCTTTAGCCCTTGCTTTCCAGTATTTAGACATCGTTACATCTCATTACTCGGCCCTTAAAAGTATTTATGCAGCATCATTTATCTCTCTCTCTCTCTCTATATATATATATATATATTGGTGACTCCTTGCGAAACTGCATGCTACTTAATCCCAAATGGTAAAAACTATTTAAATATCAGTGGGTGATACCTTGCTAAACTGCATGCTACTGTGTCTCTTGAGTGACACGGTTGCGCTATTGCTTGGTTCCTTTTCGGAGGTGTTGATTGTTTGACCAGTCTTCTTGCTATCAACTGCTTTTTCTCTTGGTTGATACATTCTCCGTGCAGAACTTAAACCCTATACTTGCAAATTGTAAGTCTTACCTTGATTTCTCTTACCTTGCCCTTTATATTTTTGCATCAATTCCTCTTTGTAGACCTATGTCACCCTTCATGTTCCATCTGACAAGTAAATCGTCTAGCTCCTTCAAATGCAGCTGGAAAATTGTGCTAAAAGTTGAAATTAAAGGTATATGTGTCAAATACAACCCTGTCCTTGTGTATGACACTCATATTCCTGTCAGTGCAACCTCATAAACAATATTTTTGGCTAATGCTCACAGCATCTCAAGTATTCCCTGAAAATGCATCCCTACATCATTTAGCACTTCCACGACTTGCATATTTTCACTTGAGAAACTTCTGGAATTCCCGGTTTCATCTAATGAAGCATACACAACCATTTCCTTTCAATGGTTTTGGATAGAAAGAGATAGATGCTTCTCATTTTCAATCAGATAATTTTTCATAATCATCTGCAGATTCTACTCTTGGTCTTTAGATCAGGTCAAATAATAATAGTCTTTTTTGCTAATTGTTTGAAAGAAAGTTTTTCAGTTGATCATTTAAAGTGAAGTCCAATTTTGTGCTTTGACTTTTAGGTTATTGCTGTGCTGGTAGGAGGAATGTCTATTCTGGCTGGTCATATTACAGCAGAACAACTTACAAAATTCATATTGTACAGTGAATGGTTGATTTATTCTACATGGTGGGTGGGGGACAATTTATCATCATTGATGCAGTCTATTGGGGCAAGTGAGAAGGTTTTTCAGTTAATGGATCTTAGACCTAGTGGTCAATTCGTTGACAAAGGTGAAATCATTTTCCAACTAGCTTCTTGTTTCACTTATCTACTCCCTGTATTTATATTGAGTATCTTGGTAGGACATGGCATGTTCACCCAACTAGGGTTTTTTAGTGTTTGCAAGAAAGAAATGTACAAACCTTTTAAATATTCAGTTTAGATTTTGGGAAGTCCTGTATGTTTAAACATGTAAGAAGTGAAAATTTAACTTTTGAGTTAATATAACATTAAAAGAAAGTAATTATCGATTCAATTTAGTCAAAGGGACATTATCTTGTGATGATTTGAAAGACGAACTATGATATACAATTTGAAATGAAAAAAGAACTTTTAGTAAAGATTATTGGAAAGCAAGTCACTTTTACATTCTTGGATTGGATTTCCAATGCCTCTTCTTCATTTGTTATGCTTGCTCTTTTCCGTCATTTGGTTGCTTATAATCTGTTGGATATATTATTTCAGTTATAAAATTTAGCTATTAATAGGTGTTATCAATACTTTCTAATGCACTACAGATCCCTCTGGCTAACTGAATCTTCTAATGGCCCAAGTATAAGTTTAACTGAAAGTCTGAAACTACGCATAAAATTGACTCACCAGAGTCAGTGTGCATTCATACTTTGGCTTTCTGCAAAGGCCCATTCATGTTCAAAGAATGATTTCATGATTCGGTTAAAGGAAATTTCTCTCCTATGCTTCAAAGAGAAATTTTTTGAGGTAGAAGGCCTGATAAATACCTGAAATCCCCTGTGTACGCTTAAATTTCTGAGAGAGAAGCTTTATGAAGTTGTAGATTTCTTCAAGACTGGCTTTTATGGAAGATGTTTTGCGAAGGGTGGCTCAACTGTTTGCTGTGTTTTCTTGACAAATGGTAGAAGATGGCGTGTATATCATTGGGGGTGAAGGGGGAGGCAGTGGTTTGTACTTAGAGGTACAAATTATTTAGGTGTTCATAAAAGCAAGTGTTCTCAACTACTGATGGAGAGGGTGTAGAATCCCTTTACCTCTGTCCTTAAACAACATTAGTCGCTCATTGATGCAAAGTTCCATCCAATCAGAATTGCTGACAGTTTTAAGTACCTAATTAAAGAATTTCTGATGGGAGGTGTTTAATGCCTTCCAACTGAAGCATGGAATAAACTCATGTAAGCTGAAATAGCTCCATTGGTGCAATTACTCTGAAAAAAATGTTTTGCGGAGGCTGCATATTCTCATCCTGCTTTGTGGATTGTTGTAGGAGCAAAGTTAAAAGGATTAGCTGGACGCATTGAATTTGAGAATGTTAGTTTCTACTATGCTTCAAGAGTGAAGGTATACGTGTCTATTCGATCTCACAGCATGTGGTTCATTATCTGAGAACAAATATTCCTTTTCGCAACGAGACTCAAATACAATGTCGATCACTTTATCCTTTTCTTAGCTATTTGCATCTGCGTGTTAGTAGAACTTTTTATGTGGTAAAAGATTATATGATTCGTGTTTTGGAGTATAAAGCAGTTGATTTCAATTCTTGATGTTCTGATTGTGAAACAATCTTCTTGATAGTTTAATTTTCTCGCTGATTTTATGTATATACTTTTTACTTATCTAGAAAACAGAATTTTGTGGCTGAAATTAGAAAAACTGACACTTTGCCTACTGTACAGATGCCAGTACTTCAACATATTAACTTCGTGGTGCATCCGGGTGAAGTAGTAGCACTTGTGAGTCCTTTAATTTCTCACTGTCAATCTAATTTTTATTTTGGCTACTATATTCCATATTTATGCGTGCATCTTTTAATATCAAATGTCATACTTCATCTGTCCCATTTATGTGACACTTTCCTTTATCACTCTGTCCAAGAAAAGGAAATATTTTCTTATTTTAGAAAAATTTAGCTTTAAACATCCCTGTTATGCTTAATAACATATTTTTGTAGTCACAAATATCTTATGGCATGTTTTAAGCCACAAGTTTCAAATGTCTTTCTTTCTTATACGCCGTGTCGCATCAAACACCTTCACATAAAATGGGATGAATGGAGTATCAATTTTCTCCATTTCGTTGGAGTTATGAAACTACTTCCCTCTATAATCGTCATGATTGAATTGCTCCTTTACAGTTTCTCGAGGAAGGAGGTAGTTTTTCTATTATGGTCAAGGGTGTGGCACAAAATGGTTGCACGTATAGAGTATCGTCACGACCCAAAATCTAGCTAGTCGTGATGACACCTAACCCAACCCGCTAGGTAAGCCAAATGATAGACAACATTACTCAAATAGGATAATAGGAATCAATAAATAAAATAATTGAGCTTTTTATACAAAATCCCAAGGATTGGTAGTACAAGTCATGAGCTTCTAAGACTTAGAATTTACAAAGCTGGTATGAAATAAATACATCCTCTGTTCGAAATATACATAAATAAATAGATTTATAAATCTAAAGCTACCATGAACAAGGGGCAGCAATAACCGGGACGCAGGTACATCTTCAATGCCTGCTCCGGCCATACATAGCAACATCAGCTCCAAACGCAAGGTGTAGAAGTGTAGTATGAGTACAACCGACCCCATGTACTCAATAAGTAACAAACCTAACCTTAAGTTGAAAGCAGTAACGAGCTCGGAAAACGGTCAAAGTCCAACACTGATAGCCAAATAACAACTCGTGATAATATAATGAAGGCAGTACAAGGAGTAGCTCAAAAGATATTATGCTCAGCTCAATCACAGTTACGGAAAAGTTGACAAAACGATCGGTCGGGTCATTACACCAGGCAGGATTCGAACCAGCACCATCCAATTTTACCATACTAATACCATGTGAAATAGAATTATTGGAATCTACTATTTTTGAATCCCCCATATTTTTGAACAATCCGAAGCACACACAAAAAAAGAAATTTCTAGAATATAATTGCTAAACAGAAGAACCTGGTGACCCAAAACAGCCTTCAAAATCTGAAAAAAGGCTACCGGGGCTAACTGGTTATGCGGACTTGTCTTCTGTTAGTCGAAAAAATCTGAAACTTTTTTGGGTAGGCCGTATAGTAGACATAATCCTTGCAGTGGTACCAGTTTTGTACAAAAACTGACGGAGGGCGAGATAAAAAGCTTTAGACAGAAACTTTAGCAAGAAAACTATAAGAAAGAGGGACAAAACACAACTTATGAAACCCTAGTGCTGGAGAGGGAGAAAACGCATCTCAAACGGGCAGCAATGGCTTCTGACACCCTGATGAAATTGAGAAGAAGAGAAGACTTCTTTGTATTTCAATGTATGCTTTACATCCTACTGATATATGCCTTTATACAAAAGTCCTAAGAAAATAAACGAAAATAATGAGAGAATATTCAGTTTGTTTATCGTGAAAATGGTAATTACAATTAAATTTGATTATGGGACTCTAAAAATACGTGATCTATTTTTATGTCGGTTGTTAAGCAGTTGATGCTATGTATGTGAGACTTAGAAACGAAATAAGAGTTGAAGGTAAGGTGATAATCAAACCGATAGATTAACAATCGGGGCCTCGAACTTGTCTATCCCGGGGCTCGACCGTTAGCTATCGAAGGTAGTCGAGGTATGACTAACAGTTATGATAAAATCAAAGAAGGCTCTTTATGACCAATGATAAGCAATAAATGATGAACACTAATGAAGATAATAAATGGAAGCAAATATATCAAGAGAATATGTAAGAGAGCAGAGAGAATGTTATTTTATATTTCTTGTGAAGCAGCTGAAGCAGCAGATCCTTACAAAATGACAAGGGTTCCCTTTATATAGGAGGGAAATCCCAACATAGTATACATTACTTACATAGATATGGGATGTGACAGCTGAATGACACCCTGATTTGGGTTCAGAATAGCCCACTAGACTTTGTCAGCCCTAGTCGCGTGCCTTGGGAACTCCCCATTTCTACCATAGCCGGGATCAACATTATCTCGAGGTCGAGCGTCGACGAACCTCGAGGAAGGAAAAAACTCGACCGTAGCCTCGAGCCTTCGCGATGATCTTCCGAGGTACCTTGATTACGTGATATCGGACCCTCCGATTCTACCGTATACAGATAGTCTCCGCGTTTCTTAGAGTAGAGCGACAAGAAACGACTTTGACAACCATCTTTCCGAATTTCCCGTGATAGTATCGTATTGATGGTGTAAGTCTTTGTGATAACCGAAACGTCCCGTCAGTCTATTTTTCCAGAATTATTCACTGCTCTGTCGACTTCTATTCTTCAGAATAATAATATCGTCGTTAGTCCATGTTTCAAAAATGTATTGATTGCTCCTGCCAATATGTCTTTCAAGGACATTAATGGGGCCGCCGGTTACGCTGCCATCCCCTATAAAAGGGGCCTCCTGGAACCACTTCTTTATTCTAAGTGTTATCAGATAAGTCTTTCACCCTTCTCTTCTCTTTATCGCCATCCATTGTTATTTTCCATGTTTGAGCCCTGCGATCTTAGGGCCGTATGGCGGCGTTTTCATCAGTCATGCTGTGGCCTTTTCCCGGGGCTTTCTCTTGCCGAGCGAGATTACACCGACTTATTGTTGTTGCTGTTATTACTGCTGTCGTCGTTGGCTCGAGATGGTGAGACAGGGAGGCCGATCTCTTCCGTCTTGGGAATGTGTTTGGACTATACATCGCTGCTCACGAGGGCTCTCGGACTATACACCGTTGCTCACCCTCCTTCCCCAGCCTGGTGTGGCACTTCAGCCCTTTTGCTTTCCGTGGGACGAAGTGGTACCTCTGGCCGGTAGCTTGCATGGCACGATGTCCCGAGAAGTGGACTCAAAGTAGCCATGCAAGCGAGGCCGACGCCCGCCAAGTCTTCTATCGGGCCATGATCTTTCGGGCCTGGGTAAAGCCTTCGCTCCTTGGCGGGCTATGACGTTTTTTCATCCCTTTCTGTTCCTCCCACTTTCCTCTTCTTCATCTTCTCCTTTGAAGATGCTACTTTGGGAGACCGAGATGAGACCGTTGCGGAAGCGGTGCTTGAGTATACTGCCGCCGAGGGTGCTCCCTGGAGAATAGGCTAGGCCCTGAGCTCTAATCACATATGTACACCTTTTTGTTTCTTTGTTTCCGTGTAAGGACCCTTCGTGGGCTTTTGTAACCATATGTAAGGACCCTTCGTGGGCTTTTGTAATTAAGTGTTTATGAATACAAAGATGTTTCCCCAATTTTGTCTCTGATGTTTGCTATGTTACCTTTTACTTGCGCTTATGGAAACTCTGAATGCATGATCCCACCGGTCGGTATCGATATCAAGCCTAGGTGGAAATATATTTCTCTGACCTTTAATTGATTAACGTGGCTCCCCGTGGAACCCTTTGCCGTTCCCTTGGATCGAGCCTGTATTGGACCGATAAACTCGGGTCGTCGGGACCCTTACTTCTGGTTGAATGGAAGTAATGCTTCGAACCTTTAGACTTTCGAGAGCAATTTTTAGGCCTTGCAATAATCTTCGAGGGGGAATTCGCTCGGGAACCCGAGAATGGAGGCTATCTTTGGACTTTTCGAGAACAGTCCCCGAGTAGGGTTTGCTCAGATTCGGGCCATTTGGAAGTTTGTTTTGATCTTATTGTAAATAGCCTTAAGGCGTTGCAGGCAGATCCAGAACGAGGTTTTACCCGAATTTAGATGGTACCCCGTGGTCAAGCCCATATGGGTTAAGCTTAAATGCTTGTTTCCTTGGAGCCTAACTCCTTTTTGCCGGGAGTCCTCGAAGTTGGGTACCACCTCGAGGCTTGTAATGGTGTCATCAGCTTCCTGGAGCTTGACTTCTTTTTGATGGAGGTCCTCGAGGTCGGGTACCACCTCGGCACTTGCGGTGATGCCGTTGGCTCCTTAGAGCCTAACTTCTTTTTGATGGAGGTCCTCGAGGTCGGGTACCACCTCGGGACTGGCGATGATTACGTTGGCTCCTTAGAGCCTAACTTCTTTTTGATGGAGGTTCTCGAGGTCGGGTACCACCTCGGGACTGGTGATGATTACGTTGGCTTTTAGAGCCTAATTTCTTTTAGATGGAGGTCCTCGAGGTCGGGTACCACCTCGGGACTGGCAATGATTACGTTGGCTCCTTAGAGCCTAACTTCTTTTTGATGGAGGTCCTCGAGGTCGGGTACCACATCGGGACTGGCGATGATTATGTTGGCCTCTTGAGGGAGGAGAACCGTCGTCGTTTTTTCCATATATATATATATATATATATAGGGTTGGTTTTGCTCTTTTGGAGATCCCACCCTCCTAAGTAGTTACCCTTCTTTTCCAGCATTAAGCCTTTCATCATTTCAGTATCAGCTTACTTGCACCGACTCCTTGCTTTAGTTCTCTGAGTTTGCCGTTGCCACGACTGTTACATCGGGGTCCGTCAGGCAGAGAGGGGAGAGATCCGCCTTCGGTATTCGGGACCAACGAGAGCATACCTTGAAGATTACTTCTTTGATAGGAGAAGAACATCTTGGGTTAGTGAGAAAAGACTGCGGCCGGGGGAGANAAGATTACTTCTTTTATAGGAGAAGAGAATCTTGGGTTAGTGAGAAAAGACTGCGGCTGGGGGGAGAAAGTAGTGTTACAGATACTTTCCCCGGATGAGGGCATCACGGATCGTGCCGATGGATTCTTGAATGTGTACACGTATCCTTTCACACTGGGCCCCCTTGATAGGATCGTGCTTCACTTCTGTTTAAAGTACCGAGTTACCTTG